AAATAAGAACCAAGATACTCATGTAAAGGTACAAGATCCCAATGATGAATGTAACTGTATTTTATACCTAAAATATACCAATAAAGTTAATGGGGAAAAATAATATTTGTCTTTCTTGATCGCTATAAGAATTAAATATATTAATATTTTTAAAGTCCTTAGAATGGTGCCTGCTATCATAGGCACTCTGATATTAACTACTTCCACTTTCCTATTGGAAACTCTTAGGGATCTTCCTTAGTAAATACCTTCCATAGGTCCTGCCCCTGCGGGGCTCCGGCCTTGGCCAGGGCAGGGGAAGCTCGAGCCCCTGGGCCGGCGGGGCTGTGGCCCAGGCCAGGCCTAGGATCTATCTAAAGCGAGGCCCGCAGCCTGCTGACCACCCAGGGCCGGGCGCTTCTGATTTTGTCCTTGCTACCTGCAGAAGCGAAATGCACTAAGTTGTCCTGGAGGATCCCGCTGCCCACAGTGAATGAAGGAGACGCTGAGAACCACACTTCGCATGGAGATGGGTTAACAAGACATTATTTCCCACACTGGGCTCTCTGGAGCTCAGTGTAGAAACTCAATAGCTTCCTGTGTAGATGAACAGCCTCACATAGGAAACTACAGACTACTGAAAACAATTGGCAAGGGAAACTTTACAAAAGTGAAATTGACAAGACACATCCTTACAAGCAGAGAGGTTGCCATAAAAATAATTGACAAAATGCAGTTGAATTCAGCGAGTCTACAGAAGCTCTTCAGAGAAGCAAGAATAATGAAGATTTTAAATCATCCAAACATAGTGAAGTTGCTTGAAGTCATTGAAACTGAAAAGACACTCTACTTAATCATGGAATATGCAAGTGGAGGTGAAGTATTTGACTATGTGGTTGCACATGGAGGAATGAAGGAAAGAGCTAAATTTAGATAGATCATGTCTGCAGTGCAGTATTGCCACCAAAAATGGATGATTCACAGCGACCTCAAGGCTGAAAATCTATTGTTAGATGCAGATATGAACGTTAAAATAGCAGATTTTGGTTTTAGCAATGAATTTATTATTGGCAGTAAATTAGAAACTAGATACGTTTCATGGTCGTCCTCCATATGCAACCCCAGAGCTCTTCCGGGGCAAGAAGTACGACAGACGGGAGGTCGACGTGTGGAGTCCCGGGGTCCTTCTCTACACTCTAGTCAGTGGGTCACTACCCTTCCACGGACAAAATCTGAAGGAGCTGAGAGAAAGAGTATTAAGACGGAAATACAGAATCCCTTTCTACATTCCCACAGACTGTGAAAACCTTCTCAAATGCTTCCTGGTGCTAAGCCCAATTAAGCGTGGCACTCTAGAGCAAATCACAAAGGGCAGGTCGATCGATGCAGGGCATGAGGACGATGAAAGTAAACCATTCACCGAACCAGAACTAAACATCTCAGACCAGAAAAGAATAGAGAGCATGGTGGGAATGGGATATTTACAAGAAGAAATTCAGGAATCTCTTAGTAAAATGAAATATGGTGAAATCACAGCTATATATTTCTTGTTGGGGAGAAAATCTTCTGAGCGGGAGGCTAGTGGCTCCAGTTCTAGCAGCAACCTTTCGCTTGCTAAGGTGTGGCCAAGCAGCGACCTCAGCAACAGCACTGGCCGGCCAGTCTCCTCACCACAAAGTGCAGAGAAGCGTTTCTTCCAGCCAGAAGCAGAGGCGGTACAGTGACAGCGCTGGACCAGCTATTCCTTCAGTTGCTCCATGTCCAAAGAGGAGTCAGACCAGCACTGCAGACAGTGGCCACAAAGAAGATGCAGTTCCCTCCAGGAAATCCAGCAGCAGTGCAGTGGGGGGGAAAGGGAATCGCTCCAGCCAGCCCCATGCTTGGAAACGCAGACATTCCCGAGTGCAAGAAAAGCCCTGCTGTCCCCAGTAGCAACACAAAGCGAAACACCTAATGTTTGCACTGAGAGAACTACTGCAGACAGACACTCAGTGATTCAGAACGGCAAGAACAGCACTTTTCCTGATCAGAGAACTCCAGTTGCTTCAACCCACAGTATTAGCAGTGCAATCACCCCGGATCGAATCCACTTCCCACGAGGCACGGCCACTCGTAGCACTTTGCAGCCCCGAGAGCGCTGAAATGCAACATATAACGGCCCACCTGCCTCTCCCGGGCTTCACCACAAAGGCACGCCACTGCCCCAATCTCGAAGTCGACGCTCCATTCATCTTTTTAGTAAATTAACTTCAAAAACCACAAGGCGTCTCAATGTGTCCGCCGAGCAAAGGGACTAAAGCAAAGAACGCAGAAGCAAAGCCTCGCTCGCTGTGCTTCACCTGGAGCATGAAAACCACTAGCTCCATAAATCCCAGCGACATGATGCGTGAGATCCGCAAAGTGCTGGGCGACAATAACTGCGGCTACGAGCAGAAGGAGCACTTCCTGCTCTTAGGAGTCCACGGCGACGGGCACTCTGCGGGAACCTGGTGCAGTGGGAGATGGAAGTCTGTTCGCTGCCAAGACTGTCTCTGAAAGGCGCCTGGTTTAAGCAGATATCTGCGACATTCATAGCTTTCGAAAATATCGCTTCCAAAATTGCCAGTGAGCTAAAGCTCTAACCCAGTAATTATGGTGTAAATTAAGTAGCACCTTAAGGTGGTTTCCTGGCACTGATGGAAATGTATAGAATAATATTTAGGCAGTAACATCGCATCTTCTAAATCATGACATTAAAGTCTGAGGACAAGAGCACCTCTGGGAGCGAAAGCTGGCCTTTTCTACAATGCACTATATTAAAGTTGTGTGACTTAGTTAAGGAGATGGAAAGATCATTCCCTTTAGTAGTCAAATACTTCTGACTAGCTGCATGTCTCAAAAAATGTGTTTATTATGGAATATTTCAAATAGATCTTTTCTACATGCCAATTTAGCCCTCTGTGAGGAAAAGGAAACTAAAAATATCCAACCTGATGGAAGGCTAGCCAACTGTTTCCTCTATATTTTCATAAATGCTCAGGTTCTACCTTGAAAATAGTGATTCACTGAAAACATGGTTGCCTTCAACTTTGAATATGTGACTGCTGGGGTGGGGTAGGACCAAAACACTAATCCTATCTAGGAAATCATACCAGGAGAAAATAGTTGGGAAGAGTACCACCCAAGTCTCTTTATACAGTTCATATGAGTTCATACATGTTCTAAAAATTTTTTTAAAATTTAAAATGTAGTTACCTGTTCAAGAAACAAAATGTTTCTTTTTCTCTACCTTATGATTTCTGTGTGACAATTTGAAAACTATAAAGTACAAATAGTATTTTAATTATAGAAATTTTAATTTTAGGGTAGCATTGAACATTTCAGGGTTAACAGAACATTTATCTCCAGTAAACCCAGCTGAAACTTTTAAAAACCATGTTGCCTTAAAACAGTATAATTGCTGTGGATAGCTGCCTCTGCTTATAAATCATGGATGTTTATCAACCTTCTTTGTCCTTGTCATGCTGACACAACTGATGGCATAATATGAAAGTGCACATTCAACATCTCAGTGTAGCTTCAGAGTGAATGGCACAATGGGAATGACCTCACAGGGTCATCTTCACTGAAGCTTTATTTTATCTATAGCTCTTGCCTTAGAGAACACCTTTCCAAACTACTTATATTTCTTTTATTTGCACTCAGTATTTGATAGAAGGTCAGGAATCAACCACACCATTCCCTCCCTATTTCCATACCCAGAACTCTGGTTCTTATTTTACAACTAAGAATTTAAAGTATCTTGACAGCTTTTTCAATACAACTTCTGGAGTTTAGCTTATCATGTACTCAAGAAATGCTTTCATCATATACTTTTTACTTTACATAATCATTTTTAGGCTGTATTTCAGTAAAGCAAATGTTGAGACTAGCCAGATTTTAAAATGCCTCTAGATTTTGTTCCACTGAAAATTAATTTACATAGGGTATCTGTATCTATGCCATCTCTCTCTCTCTCACTGTCTGTCTGTTTGTCTGTCTGTCTATCTACCTATCATCTGTCTCTACATATTTTCCCCACAATGTCATTTTTGGCACATTAATTGTATTCATTAAAGCAGGCTAATAAAAAGTAAACAAAAAAGAAGGATTTTCCTTATTGATACAAAGTAACAAAATAATGTAATAATGTTATACATAATTGGCTATGACAAATAAAGGCCATAGTAGGGCAATGGAAATGAGTGTTGGTAGACAGGATAAATGAAAGTTAAATGGCAATCCATTTCCTCTTTCAAGTGGCCTGAACTGTTCTTCCTTTTGCTTGATAAGTTGCAAAACACATTAGAACATCTGTTTTTCCTCTTTTTCTGTTTTATCAACTTCACTGACATATCTAATGTTAGAGAATTGCAAGAATTCCCAATGCACCTCTGAGGTCGAGGTCACGTCAACAACCATATCATGAACTGGACATGTGAACCCTGCTGCGTTTCTCTGAAGAATACAAGGCAGTACACATCTCTGCTGAAATTAACTGATACCTTTGGTGAGTTTTACCTTCGTTAATATTGTTATATTTAACTGGTAGTGAGAAGCATATAATGGATTAAAAATGTATGTTATTGAAAGTATTTTTTCCTTCTTTCTGGCTCTATTTTTATTTCTGTTCTACCTACTTTTAAAATAAAAAGGTAGAGCATTTTACTTGAATCATTTTGCTGCAGCTGTTGCTAATAATACATTTTTATTATTTTTATACTTTTTCAGATAGTTTAAAATAATTTATATTGAATTGAAGAAGTTTATCAGTAAGCTTCAGAAGCACAGAAAATATACTGAATACATTGAATTTTCACTTCTGTCAACATACATTTGTTTTATAGAAATGGGGAGCAATATTGAAGGTAAGGCCATCTAAGTACAGTATTTGGAATTTTTTTTTGGTTGTATTTCACTTCATAAAACTATAGTTTTGCATAGCAAATCCCACTTTAGCTATAACAAACAGAATATAAAGAAATTTTAGAGAAAGCTATTGGAAAGTGTTCTTGCTATAACAGTTCCCTATTTTTTTCACAAGGTATACATCCCAAAACCACATTGGAAGCCTGAACTTGAAGAAAGAATTAAAACTACACTTTACAGCTTCTCGACAGCATCACCACTCTTGCACTTTAGGCATATTAAGTAAAATAAAGATTATGTGAACATAAGCACTGTGATCTTGTGACAGTTGACTTGATAGGTGACGTGGCTACTGACTAATTGATGGGTTGCAAACAAAGGGTTGATTATTTCCCTGGCAAGATAAAGCAGGATTGTGCAAGATCTCATCATTCTGCTCAAAAGCTCACACAATTAAAAAATTTTAATGTTTCTTTCTGGATTTTTCATTTAATAGTTTTGGGGCACGATTTACCATAGGAACTGAAAACTATAGAAAACAAAACTGCAGATAAGAGTATTCTATTATACAGTTGAGCTGAATATTTCAAATACCTACATTTATGATTGATACAAATACAAAAAAGTAAACTAGCTAGATAGCAGTGGATCTTTGTAACTGTAGACATTGAGAAAAAGCTATGTCCTTATTTTCATGTACTTATAGGGTCCTTACCCTAATTCACTCGAGATTGTGGTTCCTAGTTAAAGGTCTTCCTCTTTAATAATCTCTCACTTTATCGTCACATATGTCACATTCCGGTGGGATTTCCAACATCTTAGTCTCTGAGATACTTGACTTCATTTCATTTGAGATGGAATGGAACAACTTAAACTTTAAAATCATCTGGAAAACTTGTAACTAATCACAGCTTGTGCCAATGCCTCTTCTAATGCACTTTTCCGTACATCTGAAATAATGGCTCTTTCCTGCTATCAAGCCCACTGCTCCCCTCTGTTCCTTTTCCTCAGTGTGGCACTCATGCTTCTTCTCAGTCCTTGGCTCACATGCTGACTTCTCCATATAGTTTTCATTTGAAATCAGCTATGCTCTGCCCTTGGCTTTTGTACAGGACCCACTTTACAAATTACCAATTCTAATTTATTGTAATACCAGTACAATGAAAAAATCTTAGATTTGACACTTAATCAGACTATATTCATAAATTGTAAACACACATTTTTATTTACTTATTAAGTATTTGCATATTTATGTTCCATGGCCAGCTCAAGATCAGCATATTAAAAAATCTCCCCTTCATACTTCCATCTATTTCTGTAGTTCCACTTTTGATTTCTGCAAAGGACCATTACCATTTAAGTTACCATCAATTATTCCTCATCACAGTGTGATTTTATTAAAATAAAAGCATTTGAAAGATTCTGTTTATTCTGAAATCTATGTATTTATTTATTTTATTTTAAATAGCATATTCAAGCTCTAAAAGGGTTGATGTCATTATACAAATATTCTCAAATATATATTATCATAAATCCCCAAAGAATATCAATAAATTTAGAGTAAAATAATAGAAATAAGAATAAATAATCACATTTAATAAACTTAATTATATTAAGAATGGCCCTAGAACATTATTATGTACTTGATTTTATAATAACATTTATCATCCATGTTATTTATCCTTTTATCTTATCACACAATTTTAGGTGAGAGGACTTACACTGAAACATTTATTTTCTATGCAAAACTGTACATTAGTTTTGACAAACTGGTGCTTGTACAGAGTCATAAATATCAAATATAAAATGATTTGTAAATTATTTAATAATTATTATTTTTCTGGTTATAATAAAATACATCTCGCAAATTTTATTCCCATTCTTACAATTAGATTTTAGATGAAGGCCTTACTTCCTCCAAAATAATCATTTTAAATTTTTATTTTAATTCCTATTTTGACAAATAATCCCATAAATTAAAAACAAAATATTGTTTAAATAGAACAAAATCACAACACTAATGAATAAACAAAATATAAATGTCAACAACCACCCTATCAATTTTTAAAGAACACAATTTTTATTGTGTTTGTAAAGAAATGGACAAGATAGAAGACTTTGTACTGCTCATCCCCCTATAATTTAAACAACTGTGAATGCATGAAAACACCTTCACGAGCGCTAAGAAAAACAGGTGAGAGAATATAGTCATGGTTATAGCATAAAAGAAAACAAAAGGTACATTTAAGAAGTCAGGGAGGACAGTTTCATATTGCCCAGATCATCTATCTCTCAATCCTATGAGCATAGCGTGGAGACAGATACCCTCTGCTTTGGGGAAGGACACGGAAGTAAGGACTAGGCTTTTCCTTGGACCTCAACAGTGAACCTGCCTAGTAAAATCTAGTACCAAACAGGTCCCCACAACCCCACATTCTAGATGATACCAGTTGACTGGGTATCAAAGCTTTTTCAGGTGTCAGGCCAGGGCCATCAGTCCCAGGCTCCAATATGACCCAACCACAGAGCTTTGATCCTGCACTAGATTCACTCTCTAAATACACTGAAGGGCCAGGTGGGCCCCTCTGATTCCCATCTCTTAACTACCCCCAGAACTCATCTGGACCCCATGGGTCTGCAGGCTTCAGGCCCATCTCCCAAACAGGGAAGTCCCTGCAGACCGCTTATAGACTGGTCCCTGAATCCCCCAAACATAAGGCCCCCAGGAACCAGACCTGCCCACACAGATCCAGGCTTCAGGCCTCCCTAAAAGAAAACAAAATGTAAAGAAAAATTTAAAAATTAACCTGAACTTATCTTTGAAAACCTTTGGCTGGTATGAGGGAGACAAGAGAGAGGCGGGTTATTGTGTAGAATGACTTTCACTATCACTAATGGAATAACAGCTATCTGCTCAGTGGAATCTTTTTCTTTTGTGGGACTTTAATGAGTAACCCTATCCAATGACATTTGCTTTTACCTCCTTTGAGGATTTTACAGCAATGTGACATTTCATTGTTGGCAAACAGACTCATTGCCCACATTGCTACAGCCTTATTCAGGTGGTGCTTTTCTACAAAATTTTGTACTGTTTCTCACATTTTACACCTCTCCCTGATCTCATCTGAAATGAGGTATACCTTCTCCTTTGTCTGCTCCTCCTCTGCAGAAAAGATCTGCATAATCTCTTATTGTTAGGAAACAATCACCCATAATTCCCTAAGGAGAGAAAGACCCCTGGCTCAGTAATGGTCATGTGAAGTTCAACACCACCTAATACTCATATTTCAAGACATCGCTCAAGTCTTATAAAGTTAACTAGAAATGTTTGATTATTTTATTGAATACTCCCAACACATACACACACACACACACATAAAACAAATGGTGGGCCGGGGATTTAGCTCAGTGGTTCTGCTGTCTCCCTTGCCTCGCAAGCGCAAGGACCCAAGTTTGATGATCCCCCGTACCAAAACAAACAAACAAACAACAACAAAAAAATTTCCCATCACAAGTTACTCACAATCCAAGGTTTTACTCTTGTTGGAAATTCCTCAAGTTAAATTATAAAATCTGCAATTGCCAAGGTCAAAATCAGAGTGCTTCATTATTAGTAGTCACTCTGTAATAATTCCCTGCTATTATTACTTTCAAAAGTAAAATTTAATGTTCAAAATCATGGAGAAAGAGGGGAGAGAGGGAAGGAAAAGGGATACAAAAAAGAAATTGAATAAAATATATAAATAGAGCTTTTGCAAATGAAAAGAAGAGTTGGAGGGAGCAAGGAGGAATGAGAGAGGAAGAGGATGAAAAAAGAATATGTATTACATACATGCACAAACTCTGCACAATAAATGTTATAATTATGTATTGCAAATACGTACTAAAAGAAAAAACTTTTTAATGAAGTAGCAAAAATAATTGACTAAAAGTTACATATATTTAGCTTCAAAAGCTAGTGCCAACTACTTTATTTCTCTCTTTGTGAGTGAATTCAGATTCAAGCTCCCCTGAAAGTGTGTTCTAGGTGAAACATTATTTTAAGTCACATGGAATTAAGCCAATGAAACATTTTGAAATTTAGATGTGTCTCAAAATGATTTAAATTTTTCTTAAATAATTTCTGTAACAAGTGAAAAATATAAAAGTCATCAAAATTAGAGGTATATTAATTGTAAGTTCTCCATTAATATGTTTAATTTTTTTTTCAGTACCTGGGATCAAACTCAGGATCTTGTGCTTGTGAGGCAGGTATGGTGCCACTGAGCTAAATCTCAGGCCCAATATCTGTTTAATTTTAAGCAATATTTTTATGTATATGTGCAGCCAAAAATATTATTAACATTTAAGCAGATTATATCATAGATTGAATTAAGTTGCAAGTTATACCAATCCTTCCTGCTGTTTAGCACTTCTACTGAGACGTCTGCTTTTGTTCATGTTGAAACATTTTGGGGAGAGCCAAGAAGTGCTTCTTTACATGTGGTATATTTCTTAGCTTTTGCCATTCTTAGAAGTTTTTCTGTCTTTTATTTTGATACTTTGATTACTATGTGGTTTGTTGATCTCTTCTCCATTCTTACCTGAATGGACATCTCTGTACTTCCAATATCTAGATGTTGCCTTTTTTCTCACATTAGGGAATTTTTTACCCAATATTTCTTAATATGTTTACTGACCCCAATTCTTCTTTGCCTTCTTTGATTCTTATTATGAATAGGTTAAATTTCTTGACCATTTCCTATAATAACAACAGATATTCTTCATTCTTTTCTTTCCTTCTTCCATTTGGTTCTCTGATTGGAAAATTTCTAATATAATGTCTCCTAGCTCACTGATTGTTTCTTCAATTTCATCAAATTGGCTGAGGATTTCTGTTGCATCTGTTATTATATTCTTAATATAATTCAGAATATTGAGTATATTCAGCCATTATATTCTTCAATTCTAGGATTTCTGTTTGTTTAATGTTTCTATTTCTTTGTCAGACTTTTTTGTCAATTTATTACTTTTCACATTTCATTTGTTATCTATATATAATTGAAGTCCATTGTCCTTTTTAAGCCCATAATTCTATATTCAAAAATCTCCCTTTCTTTAGTGTCCATTTTTAGATCTTTTGGGGTCTTTTTTGGAGTTTTGGAGTTTGGGAGTTCTGGAGTTTTGGAATTTTGAGGGGTTTTTTTAAACTCATGATAAAACTCATGTTCTTGTGTTGCTGTTTACACATGTGTGGAGGTATCCACCTTTTGTGGCTTTGCAGATACTCATTGGAAGTGATGATCCCTTATCCTTTTGCTAGAATATAATTAGGGAGGGTTTAGTAAAATGTCTCTAGAGAGAAAAAGTTATTTTCAGATTCTCTAGTTATATGGGCTAAAACTTTTTCTCTG